TCTTCAGTTTGAACAGTTAAGATTTGAAAATGAAAGAGAGAAGCTGATTGGTTGCCATGCACAGCTGCTCCAGGTTTGATAAATTCCCCTCCATGTATTCTGTTCACACATTGCAGGGCATTCTGTGAATGGATTTGGGAAGATCCTGTCATTTACCTGGATGAATGAAGGTCTTGTTGTACTCTTTATCGGATATCCCAACAGCAGGGGAGGGAGCTCACAGTGACAGTGGGTGGCGCTGCTGACCACATGAATTCTTTGGAGGAATGTCACCAGCACACCAAAAATCCTTTCAGGATCACCAAGTGTTCATTTATTAAGAACCAAAGACAAGCTCTTTTCGTGGCCCTGCAGGGTCCCTTCTTCAGTCTTAACATTGACATTGGATTTCTGTTGCTGGCGACATTCTCCTAAACAATTCCTGTCATTTACCCGCCTCCTCCTTCCACTCATTCACTTACAGAACACCTTGCATTTTGTGAACAAAAATACAAGCGAGGGACTTTATCAAAACTGATGTCGACAGAATCTGGAGCAGTTGTCCATAGTAACCAATCAGCTTCTCTCTTCAGTTTCCTAAGTTAAAGTATCATTAAAGCCTCTGGGTTTTTTGCATATATCTACTGCTAGCAAGCAGTAAATATATGCAAAAAGTGTAAAAAATAATTAAAAAATGCTTTAAAAGAGGTCAATACTTACCTGTGTCATCCCCAGGCGCTCTCTTCCGAAAATTTGAAAATTCTCTGGCGGCCACAAAGCACCCGCATGCAGACACCGTGGGACAGGAAGTGCCAGCAAGCACAGAGGAGTCAGCGCTGGATCAGAGACACGCAGCAGCGCTGGAGAGAAGGCTGAAAAGGACAGCAAAGAAGAAGATCGGATTAACAAACCTCATTTAAGGTAAGTGCTGACATTAACATTGGGGGGAGGGAAAATTTTTTTTGACTTTTATGTCACTTTAAGTTTTGAAAATTAGAAGCTAATTGGTTGCTATGGGCAACTGCTCCAGATTCTGTCTGCTTCAGTTTTAATAAATCTACCTCCCCTTGGATGTTATAAAAGTCCTGACAATGTCCAGGCCTGCTGCTCATGCAACACACTGTATGTATTGTGGGTAGGGACAGGAGACTTGAATCCCCAGAGTTCCCACTTACATCAGTTCCCAGACTCTGCTATAACAGGAGATTGTGGGGATTCTGGTGTAAAGGTGCCCATACACTGCGGGAAATCCCGCGATCGTACGATAATCGTGCAGTGTATGGAAGGCGTACGACCGTTTCTACTTTACGGTCGCACGTCTTCAGTCGAACAAGCAGTGGCCACAAGTTAGTGGCCTGCTTGTTCGACAACTGCCGAACGGGCCGGTGTGTGCACACGCACACTGCCCATTTGCAATCATCGAAAGCCCGCCCCTGATTGCAGTCATCGCAAGCCCGCCCCTCAGGGGGGCGGGCTTGCGATGATCACAAGTACGATCTGCCTGTCCAAGATGGGCAGATCGTACGTTTTTTTAAGCACTTTACAACCCTCGCAAGACAAAAGTCTTGCAAGGGTTGTAAAGTGTATGGGCACCTTTAGGGGCAACCCTGGAGACTCTGATGTAAGGAGTGGTTATTTTTGGTTCTACTGTATACACTGGCCTGTTCGTTACTAATTCCTGACCCCTACGCACTGTGCTACATAGTCCTGACCCTTGCACCCTGAAAATTACATAGTCCTGACCCCTGCACTCCATACATTACACACTCCTGACCTCTGAACTGTTTCACACTCCTGATCCCTGCACTCCATGAGTTACACACTACTGACTGCTGCATTCTGTGCATTAGACACTCTTGACACATAGCAGAGTTGGCTCAGGTTTTATTTAACCATACATTTTCAGTCTCTTAGACTGTTATCACTATTTGGCCACACCCATAATTAACTGCAGTGTCAGAGGCATTTTGTCTTTATATCTTAAATATCTGCCTCTTGTTCCAAAGTCTGTGACCAATTGTTTTGGGGCAGAATACAAATGTGTGTGTGTGTGG